GAGAAGACTCTTGAGAGTCCCTTGGACTAGAAGGAGATCCAACCAGTCCATCCTAAAGGAGATCAGTCCTGAACATTAATTGGAAGGACTGATGCTGAAGCTGAAACTCCAATACTTTGGCCACCTGATGCAAAGAGTTGACTCATTTGAAAAGACCTGGATGCTGAGAGGGATTGGGGGCAGGAGGAGAAGGGGACGACAGAGGATGAGATGGCTGGATGGCATCACTGACTCGATGGACATGTGTTGGAGTAAACTCCGGGAGTTTGTGATGGACAGGGAGGCCTGGCGTGCTGCGATTCATGGGGTCGCAAAGAGTCGGACATGACTGAGCGAATGAACTGAACTGAAGTCTTCTAGGGGGCACTTATAACAGTGTTTAGCAAAATTTAAATGTGTATACCCTTTGATATAGTATTAACTTGTAGAAATTTATTCTGAAGGTATAATCTGACAAACATATCTGCACGGATATTTATTTTAGCTTCACTCATCATAGTTAAAAATTGGAAGTAACATAAGGATCCATGAGGAAGGGTTTTGATAAGACATCATGGTCCGTACATCCTCAGAGTGGTGTTGTGCTAGAGAGCTGGTGAACCTCTGTGTCTGCTGATGAGGACAGCGATCCATGGTGAACCCTCAGCAGTACTGTGACCCAGCCTAGTGCATTTGCATAGAATGTGTGTGGAGTGTCTGGGAGGGAGATACGGCAAAACAGCGGACAGTGATTTTGGGAGATGGGGTGATTACGGATTGTTTTTTTTAAGCTTTTGTCTCTTCTAAGTATTTATAGTTATCTTGTATTTTTTTACTGTTATTTTTAAATTAGGGATGTGGATTTTCTTCTTTTTCCCCAGCTTTATTGAGATTTAGTTGTTATATAGCATTGTGTAGTATATACTTGATTGATAAGGCTGAATCTTGGTGGTTACCACACTGACAAGGGCTATTGCTGGGACTGAATACATTGAGAGTTCTTATGACACAATTATTTTCTAGGGAAGTGGAAAATCAACTTTAGCAAAGGCAATCTGTAAAGAAGCATTTGACATATTGGATGCCCATGTGGAAATAATTGACTGTAAAGCTTTACGAGGTATGAATATGGTAATATTCTACATAAATGTCTTTTTTGGTAGAAAGAAATGTTACTATTTAATGTTGCTAAGTAATAAATACGAATAGCTAATTTTTATTTAATTTTTCTGTTTGTCATTTGGTCATTGAAATTACTTAGAAATTTTAGATCTTTGGCATTCTAATGTTTTTAATAAAAATTTTAAAACTCCCCATATTTGCTGCAGGCTTTTTTTTTCCAGCCAAAACTCTTTGTAGACAATACTCCTAAAAAATGCCAATTTGCACAACTCTGAGAAAATTAGTATTTAGAATATACTCTAATTGGGGTAGGTTACTTCTGAATTGCTTTGGGGAACTAGTAGGGTGACTGCTTCAGGGGAGGGAAAGTGGGTGGCTGTAGACGGCAGAGAGGAAATTTACAATCTACCACACACAGCTGACTCTTGAACAGTGAGTGTCTTAGGGGTACCAACCCTCCATGAAGCCAAAAATCTTTATATAACTTATAGTCAGCCCTCTGAACACGTGGTTCTGCTGTATCCACGAATTCAACCAACCTTGGATGGTATAGTATTGTAGTATTTCCTACTGGAAAAAATCACGTATATATAAGTACACTTGCACAGTTCAAACCTATGTTGTTCAAGGGTCAACTGTACGCTTATTACTTCTGAAAGTCTGTAACATATTATTATCCAATACTTTAAGAATCAGAAAAATTTTACTGAGTAGTTAATTTTTTCTCCCCTTGCTACCTCTCCTACTCACAACTAGTCATCATATAGTGTTTATTAATCTAGCATATAGTAAAAAACTAAGAAATAGCCTTTTTTAAAAATATTTTTTTGATGTGAACCATTTTTAAAGTCTTTATTGAGTTTGTTAGGATATTATTTCTGTTTTATGTTTTGGTTTTCCGGCCACAAGGCATATGGGATCCTAGCTCCCTGGCCAGGGAATGAACCTGCACCCTTTGCATTGGAAGGTGAAGTCTTAACCACTGGACTGCCAGGGAAGTCCCAAGAAATAGCCTTTGAAAACCCATTACTTCATATTCTATAAAGCTGGTTTTTAGAGACCTTGTCCTTCTCTTAGAGTCTTGCTTGCAGCCTCATGTGAAAATTTTAAGATTGAAGTAACAGGAACTCTTGACCTTTCTTATGAATTGGTATGTTCTCTACTCTTTGAAAATGAAAAGTTTGTAATTCACCATGAAGATGGAAGTCAAATTAGTAATATAAATATAGCAATTCTAGGATCTTGAGGCAGCTACATTTGTGTTTGCTTTTATCTGGTTCTTGACCCCTTACTTTCATTTATATTTTCCCACATCCTGTTTTTATTTTGCTGTTTTGTTATAAATAGGGATCTGAAATTCTCCATGGAATGAACAAACACATATGTATAGAAATTATAGTAGCATAGTCTTTCAGTTTTATAAAATTCAGTACTTTACTGAGTCCTTTGAAGCTGTATTAATTAAACTGTGTTAATAACTAACAATTTTAGTGATTGGTATATTAACAAAATACTGTATGAATTAAATTTGCATAGTCAAATCAATATTGAACTTTTCTAATGCTTTCAAGGGCAGCCTGAACTTTCTCAGCCTTCAAGTAACATTAAAACCACTTTGTATCTCCTGTGTTAAGGAAAAAGGCTTGAAAACATACAGAAGACCCTAGCGGCAGCTTTCTCGGAGGCGCTGTGGCGCCAGCCCTCTGTTGTTCTGTTGGACGACCTGGACCTCGTCATTGGCCGCTCTGCCCTCCCGGAACACGAGCACAGTCCGGAGGCCGTTCAGAGCCAGCGGCTCGCCCACGGTAATGTAATGCACACGTCCTCCTGGCTGCAGGCCTTTTCCTTTATCAGTCAGCATTTTTAGTGTTAGCAGTAAATCTGTGCTCTTCAGAGAACAGAATATGTGCTAGGTAATGTGTTGCTTTTGAGGCCTCTGGGAACATTGTATAATTGTGTAGTTATCCTGTATTAGCAAGATCCATAGAGCAGTGTGAACATTCTCCAACCTCATCATTAGTCTTTGGGGCCGTATTCTCCTCTGCAGTGGGTCGCCATTCCCTTCTCCAGGGGATCTTCCCGACCCAGGGATTGAACCCAGGTCTCCCACGTTGCAGGCAGATTCCTTACCATCTAAGCCATCAGGGAAGTTCTCCCTTCTCCACTTATTAGAAATTGCTGAACTGTACAGCTTTACTCTTGTTTTGCTCATTTGACAAATACTTCTCTATTGCTCGTGCACAGTCTGTAGTCTCAGAGTCTTGGAGAGGAGATAAAAGTAAACAATGTTAGTACAGAAGACTCACAGTTACAGTGATAGCTGCCGTGTGTTGACTGCGAGGGGGTGCTTTGTATTCCCCATGCAGACACTCTCCTGGTTTTCCAGGTGAGTAAATGGAAACTCAAGGTCAGGTAATTTGACCAGGAAGACACAACTAGGAGGTGGGTAGGATGTGTTCTGCTGGAAGTGTGTCCAGGGCACAATAGGAGCACATATACTAAACTGGAGGTGGTTGGGTAAGAAGTTATCAGGGGAGGTTTCTGAGAGGAGTTCATAACTGAGATGAGTTTTGATGGAGGAGTAGAAATTGGCACAGAGTGGCTTCAGCCTAATGAAGGCACAAAGGAAGTGTGATCCACCGGCAAAGGTGCAGAGGTCCAAGCAATTCCAGTGGAGCTCTGGGTTCTAGGAGAGGATGGGATCAGGAGTTGGAGGATTTGACAGCGTTCATCTGCATCAGGATTCTTAAGAGATGAATCCAGAATGCAACCATAATGGCTGGATCACCAAAATAGTGTTAATTTCACATTTGGAATCTCATAGTGTCTGAAAGACTTGCTAGTCTCGTGTTTAAGGGAATGCTGCAGATTCCTCGGTCAGGATCAGATGTACGTTATTAAGGCCTGTTTCGGTTCTTACCTCATACCAGTCAAACCTTTCTTGAGCTAGGTTGTCCAGAAAGCCATAAGTATATAAGCTGTATTTTGCTTGCTCAATAGAATACAATATGAAAGTTTATCATCCTTCTATAATACTTATTTCAGAGACTCCTTTTCATTTATCTATTAAGATCCAGAAGTTTACCTAGTAAGAACCAACCTCACTAGGCATGGTTCTGAGTACACG